ACTCGTACCCAGGTCCTCTGTCTGGGCTGCGAAAATTTTGCTGATAGTGACTCGACCAGAGTGACTTTCTTTATTGGCTTCCCCCCCCCCCCCCCTTTAGAGGGGGACATGAATCGTGTGTGACTGAAGCTATAACTAGGAAAGTTGCAGTCGCCGTCACTGCAAGGTGCGTCACGCTACCAAATCATAGAGATTTGGTGATGAGGACATTGATGACGGGTGACAGGTAATCTTATCAATCGATAAAAACAGATAAGATACCATCTGCGCTACATTTTTATCACTTCTTACCGCTATACCGAGAACTAGGGACTCAGTATGTGAACCCTGAGGGTATATAGTGCGGCTGAAAGGGGAAAATCGAGGAATCCATCGATCGAAAAATTTTTTTCTCAAATCTGATGTGTTAGAAGGTGGCGGTCGCAATCGAAGCAGAATAAGTAGGGGACCCAACACTGGGAGTGGGAACGTCCTGTCGGTGGTAACATTCGAGCTCTCCGTGCGACACACACTTTGATATGTACAAGCAATGTGGAGTTCTCCTTTTCAATGGCACCCATGATTGCAGTTAATGTGGTGCAGCCTTCTCACGGTTGAAAGCCTGTAGTAAGCAAGAGGGACCAGATATTGGTAGATAATGACTGATGTTGAGCTATTTTCAACTCATTTTCCTACATTTCAATAAAAAAATAACTGCCACCATTTGGCACATTTAGCGCATTCTACCTCGCCCAAGGGAAGAGTGCCTGGCGAAGCCAGGTCGGCCCGGCGAAGACGGGCCGTGAAACAGAAGAAACAAAGTCGGATCACCCGGCGGTAGCCAGGTGATCCGACTGATGCATCATATACAATAATTGGCTCCGTTACTTTCACTACCTGGTCTGCGCCCGCTTTGAGCAGGTAGATCGCTCTTCAGGTAGAGAAGTTCCTCAACCCTTTCAATGATGTCTCTCCACGCAGAGCTCAGGAACTCGTTCTTCTTCATGTTCAATCGGAGGCCATCCTCAACGCGTGATTCTGTCTTTTTGCAGCTTGCTCTGGAGTTTTTACCTACCATTCGCCATCAGGTCAATGTCGTCAGCGTGTCTCAAGGTGCCTTTTCATTTTCTTTCAGCTCAGCCACTGCTTCTTGAGGCAGCCCGACGGGTATGTCCACCCTGCTTTTTGAGGCCGATTAGAGTGCATGTAGCCACCTCTGTCCCATCTTTCATCATCGTGGATGTTCTTCACATGGACTATTAGATATTCCGGAACGCTCTCCACACAACTGGCAGCCAAATAAGCATTACCACTGACCAAAACATCAATGCTTTCCTTGTGGCGCAAATGGTTTTCAACGTGTTCGTCAGGAAGTAATTAGTAGGTTTAGAAGTTTTGGAAGTTGTGCCATTTCCTTTTAACGAAATGCTTACCCTTCGCCTGGAGAAAGATGTGAACGGTATTCACAGAGTTGATACCCATCCTA